AGCTTTCATTCTGCAATCCACACAGCTGGTCATCTTTCTTTTTTGTTGTGTCTAAAAGCAGCCATATGTCATCAGCAACCCTCTCATGTATATTGAACTTCCTTAGCACATCAGCTTGTCTCTTTGAATGTGTTACCTGATGTCTTTAAAGTGGCAAAACACAGAAAAGTGGGTCCTCCTGGTCCTTTGTTCATCAGTCCAGCAAGAGTCAGGAATTTGGTGGATAAGGGGTGTTTAGGCCCTTGGGCCATATATATTCTAGCTTTGCTTTTTAATTTCTTTGCTTCAGCTCAACTAGCAGAATATGGCTCAAATCAGCTCTACGCTACCCTGTAGTAAATATGGCTATCCTTTATCTATGGGGAAGCCCTAGGGCTCCTGAGCACTGGTGTGTTTGATGTTAGACCATCCATGGCGATGCTAATTCTCCAGCTCAGTGTGTCTATCTAGGTGCTTTATTTGATGCTCACCATTTTTGATATGGGTGGTCTTCTCCAGCAATTAACAGAGAACTAACAGTGGTCTTTCTGCTTGAAATGTTAGCATCAGTGCTTGAGAACAATTACAATCTGTCTGGCAGGATGTATGTGCATAACAGAAAAGGGTATTTATTCTAGGAGAGCTAGATCAAACAGGTAAGCTTTAATGAAAGTTTGAAAGGTTTTTGGTTCAGGAGAGACTCTTAATGTTTTCTAAAACCACCCTTGGTTCTGCGGTTCTCTGTGTGAAGGCCCCTCTTCTCCTTCATCATTTTGGATGGTATTATATAATTAAGCAATCGAAAAGGTTGTAATGTGATGAGATGCGTGATATCTTAGGTAGCTTGGACCACAATTTAAATGGAGCCCCTGTCAATGCATAGTGTGTCAGGAGAACATATTCATAGAACTCTCTGTTGCTGTTGAATTTTGAAACTTCTGGAATGTAAGTAAGTGGTTTCTCTCCTTCTTAAATGAGTTGCAGTCATCACATTGAACTGGAAGTGCAACCATTTTGGAGCTCAGTCCTGTGTCTGAAGCACAGCCTTATCATCTGTAGATCTGTAGAGAACTAGGTGTTTCGCAGCACTGGTATTTGACCATCCAGCACCACTGAAGAGTTCATGAGGTACCCATGGTTACCTTGGCAATAAAGTGATGAGATATGCTCAGTAGAATGGGAATTTTTAGAGGTGGTGAGATTTTCAAAGCTCTTTCCTTTTTTGAGTGTTAACCCATTTGTTACTGAGATTAATTTTTAAACAGACAATTAAGGAATGCTTTTAATAGGCTGAGAAAAGTTAAAGGATGTCAGTGTATTCTTTAATCCTGCCACTTGTAACAATCCATAGCATTTTGTACTCATTATGCTTTTTAAAGGTGAATAATTTAGTTTCTTTCACCTCCTGATCAGAAACTCCCTTCTGTGTTCCTTCTTCTGAATTCAGCTTTCAGCTTTCTAAATAAGAAAAAAACCTAATCTTACATGAAATTTTATAATCTGTACCTCAGCCTGAGTAAAATTATTACCCTCATATACACAAACTCCCAAGTCCAGAACCAAATCCAACTATACTGGGCATAGATGTCACTTAAACACCACTGTTTATTATAATTTAATTTATTTGAAACAAATCAACATTTATACAGAAAAAAATACTAAGAAATCACACAGAAAAACACTGATTAGCCATTATGAAACAGCTTATAATCTTGCCTTCACATTTCTGAAGCATTTGGCAGGGTTTTTCATCATGAAATTACGATCCTTAGATAAAAGGAGCTCTGTAGTACCCTTCTCCAGTACATACCTGTCTATTTAAGGCTGTAATGACAGTAACCTGGAAGAGATTCGAAAAGCAGGGAAAGCTGTGACCTGTACCGTTAATTCATCTCAGCTAGTTCCACGCTGATGAAGTGATCTATCATCATTGCTCCCATACTAGAGCATGTACTCCTACAAGAAAGTTTCGCCACTGCAGTGGTGACTGGACTAACATCGCCTGGCATCCAGCAGTGTACAGACTAAACTATAGTTTTTAGCCAGAGAATATGGAAACCGACAACAAATTATTACTTGTGGTCTTTCTCCAGTTTTCAAGTGCAAACATACCAAAGTTTATTTTAAATCTGAGCCAGTCAGACATTTAGTAATATAGATCAAAGAAGAAACGAAGGCCTCCCATGCTTATTATTTCAATATGATGTCTGTTCTAATAAAGTGTAAGAGTGTCTGTGATAGACTAACTAGTAGGAATTTTCTGGTTCTGTAGTTTAGCCTTAAATATACACACATATTTGTAAATTAATCAGAAACATATTGTCGTGGTTTCAGTTACTCAGAAAGCTGATTGTTTTCAATCCTTTCTTTAATCTTAGAAATATGGTGGCAGTCTGCCAGCACACTTTCAGATAAACAGTCCACTTCGCATTTAAAAACCGTAGAATCACTGATGTTGAAAGGGGGGAAAAATCAACAGAAAACAACACCAGTTCTGTCTCTCTCTTCCCCAAAATGTAGA